TCTGTCAGAGTATTCCTATAATTTCTGTAAATACTTACTACAGTAATGTTTATTTATGCTCTTCAAAATGAGAAAAGGGTTTCCACGATCCACAGAAGTTACTGGCCTTAATCTTCTGCTTCTTAGACCATTTTCTGTAAGAGTTTAGAAATGTTGTGAGAGAGGGTTTTTAAGATCCAAGAAAACACTGTTATTTGTTTGCAGCAGCGTCAGCATTATCCTGACCACCACTATGTTAATGGTGACTTGTTAGAACACCAAAAAAGAAAGAAAGTGAAAGATGTAGTACTTACTGCTTTGTGGCCTGGTAGAACCCACAGATTAGCTGAGTGCCTATGATAGCACTCACAGCATAAGTGACAAATTTCATTTTAATAGGGCAATATAATGTACTTGTTTTATATATTTTAAGGAAAATATTTTGAAGAGAAATAGTGTTATGATGAATTAGCAGTGCCTGACATAACATTAAACAATGTAAGAAGGTATCTAAATTTCAGTTGATTTTGTGTCCCTTTCGGGGTATTGTAGCAAACCCAATGGAGGTGTTACCCACAAGGACTTTTATTGTGTTAGGTTTGGGCTCAGCTAGACCAGGCAATGCACTGGTAGTTGAATCTGTGTGAATGACAGAAGCTATAATGAGAACAGAACCTGAGAAAGTAGAAAGCTTTTATTCTAAGGAGATAAACCCAACCTATAAATAGGAAGCAAATAAAGTTGCAAGTAGACATGGACAGAGAACAAGAAAAATGTGAGGTTGTCAGGTACCTATTTTTTATGTGGCACCAGAGTAGTGGTTTGGTAACCAGAGAAAGGTAATAAAGCTGGTCAGAGACTTCAGGGAAGAGAAGATTTAGAGCCAGGGAACCAGTGTTTTTTCTAACGTTCCTCCTTTTTTTGTCTGTAGTGATGATTTGGAAAGGTCTGTCTTACTTGGGGCCAGCATAGTTAGTAATAGTTTTTACTTTCCAGCTAGTGAGAACTGCAAGATCCAGAAGGGAAACAAGTTCACAGAGCCAATCTCCTTTAGCTTTTTTTATCTGTATGTGTTCCTAGAAACATTGGAAAGATGTGTGAGTGGGTACCTGGTATTGTCATTTGGAATTGTCAAGAACTGTGAAGAGTGAGACTTTATCCAGGTTTGCCTGCCACAGTTTCTCAGATGCTGGCAGAAGACACGAAACTCTTGAGTTCGAGATAATGGACTTTATTATGGCACAGCAAGCAGCATGAGTTTCATATTTATGATGGTTCCCTTTGCTCCCTCAAGTCTCATATAGTTGACATGGTAGCCCAAGTGGATGCTACACTTAGTAGGTTTTCATCACAGTTAAGGAGCTCCAAGCTTTATGAATCCTAATCTTTTATAATGGTCGGCAAGCATGTCTGCCTCACCTTTGCCCTAGAGGGAGACAGTATCTTTATTATACTGAATGTAAACAGGTTCTCTGCTCTGGAGGGGGACATCATCTCTGTTTTTCGAGGCTGCTTCCTATAAATATCTTTGAAAAGATAAAGTCAGCTAGGGCTTTTTGAAAAACTGTAGAAATGTGAGAGACCCATGGAAAACTGTCTCCCAGTAGGAAGTGATTAGTGTGAAAAGTCCTTTGGGCTCTCAGTGTTCTTGGCTTTTTTATTCTAGGTTTTTTAGCTTATATATCAGGAGTCAGCAAACTTTTTTCCATAAAGGGACAGACATTAAATATTTAAGGCTTTTTAAGCCGTATTTTTTCTGTCACAACTACTGAACTCAGTTGTTGTAGCAGGAAAGCAGCCATAGACAATACATAAATGGATGAACCTGGTTGTGTTCCAATAAAACCTTATTTATAGACATTGAAATTTGAATTTCATGTAATTTTCACATATCAAAAAGTAGTTTTTTTTTTTTCCAACCACTTTTACCTCGTGGATGTACAAAAATGGGTGGCAGGCCAAATTTGGCTTGCAGGTAGTAGTTTTACATGATGGATTTTGTTAATATAATATGTTGTTTTAATATAGCATTCTTGCAACATAGCAATTAATGTTTCTAAAATTTTTTCTCATAAATTACCCCAATTTGGCTTCAGAGAGCATTATCATCTCGATTTTATGGTGAGGAAACTAATACACTGAGAAAGAAGATGACCTATTGACCTACCCAGATTCATAAAACTAGTTAAGTGACAAAAGTCAAGACTTACTGTATTCTGGACTCTTTTCCCCATAATATGGTACAGGTTAAATATTCATAAACAGAGTATCATGTTATATATCTTTTGTTGCCAGAATATTCATTTATTGCCAGAATGCTTAGAGCCTTATAAATAATAATAATAATAATGCATGATAGTTTCTAATTTTCTTTATTACTATATTCTCCCTAGCTATTTTAATATTTAATAATTAGTATTTTCACAAAAGCTGGATATGGGAGGTAAAGAGCATTAGTTAACAAAATTTGGTAAAAAATTGGCAATTCAATAGTACAGACATTCATCTACCGTATTTTTCATCTTTTCAAATATATTAATTGATTTTATTTTCAGAGGTATAAAATAAAATAAACAGTATAGAACATCCCTCCCTCTAGTCAGCTGTGTTAATGCTGAACTAATATTTTAATTTATCCAGTAAGTTTTATGCAGATTTTTAAACTTGAGATGTTGAGAACATTTTCTTTAGTAATGTCTGGATTGCTTCCCTGTCAGGTGGTTGAAGATTATGCTGGAAGATGGCAGGTCCCTTTGCCACAGCTTCAGGTTCTTCAGACTGCACTTTGTTGTTTTACAACAGCCAGTGCATCATTCCCAGATGAATGTGAGCACGTACAATATGTTTTGAGTAGCCTTGCTGTGTAAGTACTTTTTACTTCTTATAAATGCATTATTTTTCTTGATGTGTTTGAGAATTTGTTTTTGATAATTTCTTCTGAAGAGAAACCTTTCCTAAAATACTCCTTCAAAAAGAAATGTTTATTTTTTTCACCTAGGTTTAATTTTGAACATGTAACCATAATTTTACTTTAAGTTTTAAGAGTTACGTGGAATTTTGATATACAGATTCTTCTGGTTACTATAAGCACTTTACTTTCCTTTTTAATTCTCCAGATTGCCTTGGGAAGCTCTAATGGTAAGTCCCAGAATACAGCAGTTTAGGCTATGAGAGTCAGTAGAGACACCTTAAATCACACCAGAAAGAGGTTAGGAAAATCCTGAGTTTTTGTTGTTGTTGTTGTTGTCTTGTTTTTTTGAGACAGTCTCCCTCTGTCACCCAGGCTGGAGTGCAGCGGTGTGATCTTGGTTTACTGCAACCTCTACCTCCCAGGTTCAAGTGATTCTCATGCCTCAGCCTCCAGAGTATGTGGGACTACAGGTGTGCACCACCATGCCTGGCTAATTTCGTTATTTTTAGCAGAGACAGAGTTTTACCATGTTGGCCAGGCTGGTCTCAAATTCCTGACAAGTGATCCATCCGCCTGGGCCTGCCAAAGTGCTGGGATTATAGGCGTGAGCCACCACTCCCGTCTGAAAATCCTGGATTTTAAAAAATGCTGATAGAGAACTTCAAATTAAAGATTAAAAACTGAACACTTCTGATTATCATTTTTGCCCTCCTAGGAACCTACTAAAATTATAGTTAAGAAGTAAAAGAGAGAAGAATGTGAAAAAAAATAGGTAAAGATTATCAGTGAATAAACGATTTTTAGTTTTCTGTGGGACAGAAATCAAATAGAGGAATGGTCATTGAAACTCAGTGGAGCAAGTCACAGCTTCATCTGTTATTTATTTATTTATATCTCAGATTACCACAACAGTGAGTTGTAAAATCATTTATCATTACAAATTGCAATAGAAAGTATCAGAGTCTGTCTCATAGGATAAGTATTATTATGTGAAACATTTTTATGTATGTATAAATTAGGGAATGAGATATTTTGGGGAGAATGCAGATAAAGAAATTAATTACAATTTTTCCATTTAGTTCAATCACCAGGCCTTAGGGTCAGGTTGGGGTGAGGAAACAGCATTAGAGGTTAAGTATCCCTAATCTGAGAACCCAAAATGTGACATCTGAAATGCTCCAAAATTTGAAGCTCTTTGAGTGCTGACATGATACTCAAAGGAAATACTCATTGGAACATTATGTATTTCAGATTTCTGGATTAGGGATGCTCAGTCAGTAAGTATAAAATACAAATACTACAGAATCTAATACCTGAAACACTTCTAATCTGAGCATTTCAGATAAGGCATACTCAACCTATACCACTTTTTTATTTCCTCTATATAAATTAAATAACCTGGAGAAATGACCTTTGTATTCTGGCATTTATAGATTCCATATTGAGACTGCTAGCTAATTACTTAATTACTCTAAAGAAAAACTCATCAGTCAAGAAACTCCAGACTCATGCTCATAGGGCTCCTAGTTATTTACATATGGCTTTATTTTTACATATTAATGAATAAGAATCATTAGATATTTTAAAATGCCTTCAACATGAAAAACATGCAATGAAAAAGTGAAGAATAATTTTGAAAGGAACAGTGTTAATGTTGAAAATAAATTAAAAATGAAATATAAAGGAAGATGTAAAACTAAAGAATTCATTCAGAATGTAAAAACCAAAGAGAAATTTAAATGTGTCTGTGTACGTTGTGCCTCTTTAAAAAGTGATTTGTATGTATTTAAAATTGTAGGAGGAAAGAAGAGTTTAGAATATATTATCGAGACTTGTAAGAGTGAGGCAGTTTAAAAAAAACCTATATTTTAATTTTTTTCTAAGACAGAGTCTGGCTCTTTCGCCCAGGCTGGAGTGCAGTGGCATGATCTTGGCTCACTGCATCCTCCATCTCCCGGGTTCAAGTGATTCTCCTGCCTCTGCCTCCCAAGTAACTGGAATTATAGGCACCTACCACCATGCCTGGCTAATTTTTGCATTTTTAGTAGAGATGGGGTTTTACCATGTTGGCCAGACTGGTCTCAAACTCCTGACCTCAGATGATCCGCCCGTCTCAGCCTCCCAAAATGCTGGAATTGATTACAGGCATGAGCCACCACACCTGGCCTAAAAAAAACTATACTAAAAATCATATATATATATTTATTTTGTGATGCCTGAAGGAATATATGAATGTATTTGTAGTTGAACTTTTTGATTATACCTGACAAATCTTACTCAAGCTTAAGTATAAACAAAATAAAACAAAACAAAAAACAAAAAAAAGGGCAGAGTGCTTTATTAGATAACTAAGCCCTAGAAAAGCAAGAACTGGGACTAGTTACAGGATTTTCTGAATCTAGAGAATAAAATATCTCAACAGTAGCTAGATGAGCTAATATCGTCTAGGAACTGTTTCTTTCCATCTTTTCCTCTTTGGGCTTTATTTTTTCAGGGCTGTTGACAGTTCTAGGATTAAGCTCAGTTTAACCAAGGAGGAAGAAACCCTTTCTCTATACTTCAGATCCCAAAAATACCTTGAGAAGAACTCTGCCAGGGCTCAGTTATGTGCCTACTGCTTAGATTAGTCACTGTATTAAGAATGTCTTAAGATTTTGGGCTAGTCCATGGCTACGAGAAAAGAGAATAAGTCATGCGCTGCATAAAGATGTTTCATATGAGATGGTGGTACCATAAGATTATAACGGAGCTGAAAAATTATTATTGCCTAATGAAGTCATAGCTGCCATAAAGTAGTGTGACACATTATTCATACTTGTGGTGATGCTGGTGTAAATAAGCCTATGGCCCTGCCTATTATATAAAAGTATAGCACATAGAATTATACATATAGTACATAATACTTGACAATGATATTATTGGTTTATGTACATGCTGTACTATACTTTTTTTTGTTATTTTAGAGTGTACCCCTTCTACCTGTTTTAAAAAGATTAAAAGAGCCACAGGCAGGTTTTACTGAAGGCATTCCAGAAAAAGACATTGTTATGATACAAGACAACAGCTTCATGCATGTTCTTGCCCCTGGAGAACTTCCATTGTGACAAGATGGAGGTGGAAGAAAATGATATTGATGACCCTGATCCTGTGTAGGGCTAGGCTGTTCAGTATGTGTCTTAGTTTTTAATAGCAACAACAAAAATATAGAATACTAAAAAGAAAAAATTTTTAAAATAGAAAAAATTTAGGGAATAAGGATACAAGAAAATCTTTTTATACAGCTGTACAATTGTGTTTGTGTTTTGAGCTAAATGTTATAGTCAAAAAGTTAAAAAAAATTAAGTTTATAAAGTAAAAAGGTTACAATAAGGTTAATTTATTATTGAAGAAAAAAAAAATTTTTTTTATAAGTGTAGTATACCCTACATATATAGTATTTATATTTCTGTATTAGTGGATGGTCATGTCAGGGCTTTCACATTCATTCACCATACACTCACTGACTCACCTATAGCAACATCATTCTTGCAAGCTCCATTCATGGCAAGTGCCCTATACACATATACAGCTTGTATCTTTTATACTAGAGGTGTCCAGTCTTTTGGCGTCCCTGGTCACACTGGAAGAAATAGGATTGTCTTGGCCCGTACATAAAATACACTAACACTGACGATAGCTGATGAGCTAAGAAAAAAAATTGCAAAAAGATTACGTAATGTTTTAAGAAAGTTTATGAATTTGTGTTGGGCCTCATTCAAAGCCATCCTGGGCTGCGTGCAGGCTGCAGGTTGGACAAGCTTGCTTTATACTGTATTTTTACTGTATTTTTTCTGTGTTTAGATACACAAATACTATTGTGTAACAGTTGCCTATGGTATTCAGTACAGTATGACGCTATATAGGTTTGTAGCTGAGGTGTGTAGTAGACTATACCATTTAGGTTTGTGTAAATACATTTAAAGATGTTCACACAAGGACAAAATCACCTAATGATGCATTTCTCAGAACATATCCCTGTCGTTAAGCAACATATGACTCTACAATGTTGGCTGCTCCATCAGAACCATAGAAATGTTGGGGAGAGAAGCAGTTGCTCAAAGGATTGGTTATGTAGACAAAAATAATAAACAAAAATAATAATACTATAAGGAATATTTTTCTATTATTTTGCAGATTACCAAAACTGTTTCAGTTATTCTCTACTGATTTTTGAGGAAAATAAGTATTAAAAGAAATTATTTGTAAGCAGTAAGTGTTGTTATTGTTTCAGTGCCTATTAGAATTTTTTCCCCCTTCATCTATATAATTTTTGTTAACTTTAGTGTTATGTGACAATTCTCTTAAAACTTTCAAAGTTTCTTTGGTTTAAAATGTCATTTATTGACTTCTCTTTCATTGCCTACTAGCTGGTATGGTTTGGCTGTGTCTCATGCAAATTTCATTTTGAATTTTAGCTCCCATAATCCCCATGTGTCATGGAAGGGACTCTGTGGGAGGTAATTGAATCATGGTGTTGGGTTTTTCCCATGCTGTTCTCGTGGTAGTGAATAAGTCTCATGAGATCTGATGGTTTTATAAAGGGCAGTTCCCATGCTTTCTTGCCTGCTGCCATGTAAGACGTGCCTTTGCTCCTCCTCCTCCTGCTGTGATTGTGAGGCCTCCCCAGCCATGTAGAACTGTGAGTCCATTAAATCTCTTTTTCTTTATAAATGACCCAGTCTCCGGTGTTTCTTCATAGCAGTATGAAAATGAAGTAATACGCTAGCTTTTTTACTACTGCCTATGTAAAAAATAATGTGTTAAACAGAAGCAAATCTTATCTAAGATGTTCAGTGTAAGGCAAAAGAAATATATTATCTTGACGACTTATTAAATAGTAAGATTTCTTTAAAGGAAAACTTTTGCATTTTTTGTATTTACTTTACAGGGAAGTTAATTGTATTTTCCATACCAGAAGAAAAATGGGGAAATAGCAACATGTTGGTTCTACTAAAAGAGTAGTAAGTTTACAACAGTATATTATTTTATTCAAATAAGTATTTAATCAAAAAATTTTTCTAACAATTATTGTGTAATTATTTGTTTATTCTGTAAAGCTCTGCTTGCTTCTAGGGATAAAATAGAATATAAGATAGATAAATCCTTGTTCTCAAAGATGTTACAGAGCTACATAATTGCAGTTAGGAGAGAATTACAGGGTTCAATGAGAGGGCATAACAGGGATTTGACCTGTCTTGGAGGTCAGTGAAAATGTGCTGGGTGAGCTAACTTGCTGTACTCCAAAGGAATGACAGGAATAACTTAGGTGCAGGAGCGGAAGTGCCTCTTAGGGATGGCAAATGGAATGTTTAAGGCACCTGGATATTACAGATTTCAGTATGTTTAGTATCTGTTTTTACAGTTCTTTTGATTTCTATCATGGCTTTAAATTTTTTATTAGCTTGACATATGAAGCTTATTAAATAATGTTATAAAATAATTTAAGAGGGAGATTTTGTCTTTTATACATGTATAACATTTACAAATAAAATATGTTATATAGAAAAGTTGTAAGTTACTGTATTCTCTGGCAGTACTGTCTGGTATATATATCCACTTTAATAAAAGCGTATATCTACTTTGTAATTATACATATGTGTTGATCTGTCGTCTGTCTGCTGGGAGACTCAAAAAATTAGAGTTTTGCTAGTGTTCTTTATAGGGAAGGAAAGGGGATTCTGCTTTTTTTCATACCTGAGTATTATTTCAAATGTTACAGAAATAAAAAGTCATGTAGTGAATTGTCTTAAATCAGCTAATTATAATTCTGTCTAACTTTACCTGGGTTGACTCTCCTTCTAAGATGTATTTTCTAAAAAAGTGGAGATTTTGCTTTGTGCATATGGACCTCAAATTCATTCTCTGTAGATAAGAAAACCAAAGTCCGAGAAGTTGGAAGAGTTTTGCACATTGAATTAATTTCTTACTGGTTTTTTCCTTTTGCCTTGTTTTAGATTGGTTAAATACTGATTCCTTTGTTCCCAGATAGAACAAAGCCAAACACCCTGAAACTAAGTGGACTTTCAGGCAGAAAACATAGACTTTATAAGTTTTACATAAAAGAAAAGCAAATTTTAATGCTGTCTTCACAGCCTCCTTTTACCCAACAGAAAGTAAATGTTCATAGATTTCAGCTTTCCAGGCCAAGGTGAGTGATGGGAAAGCAGGTATTTGCCCAACGGCCACTAGATCCACAAGAATCACTGGAGGAGGAACTAGTTCAGCTAGTAGTGTTTTGTGTGTGCACTGGCAAAGACTGAAGTGTATGCCAAGTTGTCTAAGAGAGAAGATGAAAGGGTCTTGTCTTCAGGGAGCCAAGTGGGTATAATCAGTCTCTTATTTAGAGTGGCTAGATCTTCTTGGACTAGACCACACATGTAATGGTAGATCACCAATCCTTTCTGATTATTTTGCTAAATTGTACTTTATTTCAAACACAACTTTTGTGCCAAGTCTAACTTCAACTGTTACTAACTCTACTGTATAATAACCACATTTTATTCAGTTGCATTTATAATTTAAGTCTAGGCTTTCAACTAGTTTAGGAAATGTCTTGGAAATCAAAGGAAGAAAGGCTAATTATAAAGGTACCATTGTTTTTTGGCGGGGGTGGGGCCCACAAAAGGTGTTTGTCTTATAGGGCCCAATGAGTATTGCCCATCTGCATAGCATATAGCACTCATACTACGTCCTGAGTTTTTGATTATATTGACGAACACTTATTTAACACCTTAACCAATTTTATATCTGTTATCTTTACTGATCATTTGTGACATGTGAACTCAGTCACTTTGGAGAAAAATCTAGGCTGTCTAGTCTTCTCTTTCTTTGTCTTCTCTCTGAGGAAGAGACTATTTTTTTTTTTTTTTAGAGGCAGTTGGTGGTCTTAATTCTTTTCTCTTACTAAACTTCATGAGATGGTTTTGTTTTTCCTTATTACACTAGAATAGTTTGTCTATAGGATTTGTTGTAGCTAAAGCCAATATTAAAAAACCCTTAGTGCATTTGTTTATATTGGCCATGGTTAGAAGCTTTGTATTGCATTTGGTCTTAGTTGTGACTAGTATCTTTTCCCCTGTAATTTTGGTCTTTATTGCTCCTTTTATTGATTTTGGAGTAAAGCGGTTGAGAACTATAGTTGTTTCATGGGCAAAGAGATTACTAATTGGTATATTTGTGTTGGCAGGGATGGAAAGGTATCAGGGGAAAAGAAATACCCTAATTCCAACCCACATTAGTATGTATCAGAATCTAGAGGACTGTACATGTGTAGTTTGGGAAAATGGTATTTACCGTTTTTCTAAGCTAAAGGAAGGAAAGCTTGATAGTTCTCTTGGTCAGTGTGGATAAAAAAAAAATAGAAAAAGGCAGTAGACTACAAGCTACTATTGGGAAGATCTTTATTCTTTAAAAGTTATTCTTTAAAAGATGTATATAGTCATTATGAATGGCGTAAATACGTTTGAAATTTTTTATTTTGAATGGCTTAATATTGTGCTAAGTCAGATCATTAAAAAACTACAGATCAGAACCATTTGTTTTTAACTTCTTTCCCACTAATATTTTTGGTTTATAGAACTAGACTACAGTATTATACTGTCAGCTTTCACTATGGAATGAAGAAAAAAAATACATGAAATGCTTCTGTAATTATAAAATGGACAAAATTTTGCTCACTGCTTCTTAACAAAGGAAACTTGTGAGAAATTATCCCAGGATTAAGGTACTGGAAGAATTTCTTCTAAGTTTGCTGTATAAGAGGCAATGAGCAGAATTATAGGATTCAAAATATTTAAGCAAATCATATATTTTTAATAGTTAATTTATTGGTTGAAGCCTATTAGCTATAGTTTTGTTAAGCTATGGTGTCTTAAAAAGGTTTTCCCTTTTAATTTTGGAATTGAGATAAGAAACAATTTGCTCCTTGTTTTGTAGGGAATAATTTTCAATAAATTCACTTTTATTTCCCTTTTTATTTTTCCCTCTCCTGAATCGGACTATCAGTTATGTTATAGAGAACCAATACCAACATTTCTCCTGTGGAGCACAGTGATAAGCACATGTTTTCATGTATGTGTTAAGGATAGAAAGGGGTGGGGAGAAGGGAAGAGACAGGAATGTGAATGTATTATGTACTAAGAGAAATGACAGAGATCACTCCCTCCTTTAGTCCTTTGCTGTTTTTTCTTTTCTTATTGTTTTCTACATCCTCAAGGTATGCATGCAACATCAGTCTCTCTTCATAAAATGCCGTCATAGTTTGTAGACATTTCACATTAGCTTCTTTTGAAAGAACCAGGTCTGCTTCATCTGTGTCTTTCCAATTCATTAAAAACATAAATCACCACAGGAATCTGTCACTCCCAGTGATTTTTTCTGGTTCCAGTCTTATCTCAAAGCCCTGAGCAATAAATACCATTGCCCTGTTATCTTTTTTGGACTTGATACTGTCAGCACTGTTTGAGAAACTGGATTTTCTCGCTACTTTCTAACTTCTCCCTAGGTTTATTTTAACCCTCCTTCATCATTTTACACTTTTGAGCTAAAGGCAATCCAAGTTTTTCTTAGATTCCCAAGTATTGTGCTCCTCAGAAAAGCCTTTTCACTTCAGTTGATACTCTACTTGCCCCTTAATCACATGCCTGTCTAGCACCTTCTCTGAAGAACTGCCAGCTGAGTGCTTGGTTGTCTTTCCCATGTTGCACTATTCCACCTGAAGGACTAAGGCCACTGTGTCCCAGATTACCTCCAATTCATCTTTTCCCTCTGGGCTATCAGTAGGGGCCTCCCCGCCCAGGTCTAGGACTTGGCCGACTTACCTTCATTTTCTTTTTGATTAAGATATATTTCAGTCAAGATTCAATTAGGTAAATATAAACATGCTAGGTAATTCAATAGAAGGAGCTTATTCATAGAATCACTTTAAAAGGTATTAGTGATCTGGGAGAATAGACAGGAAATGGTGAACCTAGAAATTGGCAATTGTGGCAAGTTGCTGTTAGCTCTAGAAACGGAGGGACAAAGGAAAAAGAAAGTATTGCTAGAGACAGGAGACAGGTGAAGAGGGGAAGCAGCACTGATTTGTATGAGAGAGTACCTCTGAAGAGTTATAATTACTGCTATAGACGATCCTGAAGCAGAGGGTTAAGGGGAAAAAGACCCACATTTCTGTTTCCTCCTGACTTCAGATTTCTACCATTCACTTCCTTTAGCCAAACCTAACCAGAGGCCAAAGACCTTTGTTTTGAAAGACATTTCCACTGATTATTGAATTTTAGGTTGGCAGTTTTTTTTTCTTCTCATACTTTAAAGAAGTCCATCCAGTGTCTTCTGGCCACATTTTCTTCTGATGAAAAGTCTGCTTTTCATTTGGTTCCATGTATATAATGTACCCTTTTAGGAACTTGCTTTTAAGATTTCATCTTCATCACTTTTTCTTTTAATTTTTGAGTAGGTAATACATGTTCATGTTTCAAAATTTAAAAAGTATGGAGTGTACAATGAGACACCCTTGCCATTTACATCTCCCTGTCCCCTAGTTTCCCAGTTTCCATTTCTTTTTTTTTTTAAATAGAGACAGGGTTTCTCCATGTTGGTCAGTCTGGTCTCGAACTCCCGACCTCAGGTGATCTGCCCACCTCGGTCTCCCACAGTGCTAGGATTACAGGTGAGAGCCACCGTGCCCGGCCTCCAGTTTCCATTTCTGTAGCCATCCAGTGTACTTATTTTCTTGAATTTTCCTTTCAGATATTTTATGCATATATAAGAAAAAATTCATATTCTCATTTTAGACCAATGCTAGTATACCATATATACTGTTTTGTACCTCCTTTTTCCACTTAGGTATCTTTCCCCATCAACATACCTTTCTGGTCATCATATTAACTATAGAATATTTCACTCTTACGTGTATATCAAAATGTAATTAACCAGCCCCTTTACTGGTTATTTAGCTTTTGTTTCAATCTTTTGCTGTTATCAACAAACCTTTAATGAATTACCATGTATGAATGGAATATGTACAGGGTATTTGTATATTCTAGATGTATCCTAGGAGTAGAGTTAATTGCTGGATCAAAGAGTATAATTTATCACTTACCATACATTTATACAAAGAATGTAATTTTTCATTTTGGTAGATACTGCCAAATTTCCTCTGTAAAGGCTGAACCAATTTACATTCTTGCCAGCAATGTAAGAAAATACATTTTTCTCACACCTTTGTCAACAGTTTTTTTTTTAATAACATTTTATTATGACAATTTTCAAGTATACTTGAAAGTAAAAGTAGTAGAAACAACTGTCACCCAGCTTCAACAATTACCAGTATATTATCAATCTTATTTCATCGACTTCTCCACTCCTTACCCATTACTAGTTTATCTTTTTTATGTAAAGCTTTATTAAAAAGTATACATTCATATAATTTACTCATTGTCAGTTTATAATTCAGTGATATTTAGTAAATTTATAGAGTTGTGCAACCATCACCGCAATCCAG